TTCTGTCATATCATTCATAGGCATATTAAAAACCTATCTGAATCATTTCAAATTCCAACAAGTCTATATTCATGCATTATACTTTCCTAGTTCAAAAAAAGCAACTACTGTCAAAACCAGCAAGCTCTATTAAACGGAATACAGAGCCACATTCCTCTCATCTGTCGCTCTGGCATATCAATATATCTACCTAATGTTCTCTGAACTGCTTCTGAAATGATTTCTATCAGGGTACTAACATTATTTAACACCCTTTAAATTTACAGATACAAAATACAAACAGTTAACACAGTTTAAATTAATAGTGACAACAACCAAACTGTTTTTCAGTTAGCCAAAATGCTAGAGTGGCAACAAGGAGAGAAAAATGCTTTGTCACAAACTAGCTGTGTGACTGAAAGTTACTAACTTCCAAAGATCTCCACTTTTTCACCTGTAACATGACAGCAGTGGTGAAAATATCCAGTCTAGTAGCTGTAGATAGTGATATAGTAGACCTTTCCTTCCCTCTAAGGCAGGGCAGTTCCTCAAACTGAGAGCAGGAAATAAAGGGCTGCTTCTTCTGGGGCTCCCAGTCCAATTGGATATGCAGACCCAGAGGAATGCATTACATGAAGGGACAGTGATACAGGCATTTCAGATTTGTAACAGACTTTGGCCCTCATGTAAGTTCCATGGACAGGTACTGGTACTCCTCCAAGAGCTTTCCAGGATGAATGAGGTATCAAGAGCATCCACTTCTATCTTCTACAATAACATTGCTCTAATCCAAGCCCATACTTCTCTTACCTAGAATACTTTGCATTGAGCTCTCTGTTTTCATTTTTGCCTTTCTAGAATCCATTTTTTAATGCAACTCAGAATGATCTAAAAGATTAATTGGATCACTAACTCTCCTGCTTACAATCCTCCAATTGTTTCTAAATGTCCACAAGGGACAATTCGGTCCTTTCCAAAGCCTGCAATGCTCCTTTTGAGCTCCCTTTTACCTTTTGCATCACACTCTTCTTGGCTCACCTGGATGCAGTCCTGTCCCTAGATCCAGCCCACTGGCTTTCCTTATCTTCTCCTAAAGGGCATAGAGCTTGTTTTTTCCCTCAGGCCTTTGCACTAGTTGTTGTCTGTATCTGGAATACTTTCGTGGGCTCTTCATATGGTTGAACTTGTCAGGTCTCACTGCCCTCCCCCATTACTCTCCATTCTCATTCCATCAAGTTCATTCTCAGAACTTAATTACATTCCTTTTCAGAAATTATCTTATTTACTTATTTGATTGTATACTATGGCTTCTTTCCCTGAGGCAGGGGCCAGGGCCCTCCTCTGTCTAGTTTACTGCAAAGTCACCAGGACCTTGGATTGTGCCTAGAAGGTATGCAATAAATACTTGTTGACTCATCACACATACTACTCATTTCAGCTTGATTTCAGCTGACGAAAACCATGTTTATAGAGGATGGTCTGAAGAAGTTGTACTTTGTCTTTACAGTCTAGATATTCTTAACCAAAAAACCTTGAATTATGCCAGATTAGCAGAGTTACCCACTACCTACCTAAGCCACATTGTCCATTGGTTTTATTTCTAGACAGGGTCTAGCTCTGTTGACAGGCTGGAGTGCAGTGGTGTAAACATGGCTCATTGCAACCTCAAACTCCTGGGCTCAAGTGATACTCCCTCCTCAGCTTCCTGAGTAGCTGGGGCTACCTACAGGTATGTGCCACTCCACCTGGCAAATTAAACAGAATTTTTAGCAGAGACGAGTAGCTGAGACTACAGGTGCACACCACCACACACGCCTGGCTAATTAAAAAATTTTTTTAGTAGAGATGAGGTCTCGCTATGTTGCTTTGGTTGGTCACAAACTCCAGTGCTCATGTGGTCCTCCAGCCTTAGGCTCCCAAAGTGCTAAGATTGATTACAGGTGTGAGCTCCCACACTCAGCCTCTATGGGCTTTAGAAAGTCTTTCTAAATTGTGATTTAGTTTTTTTACCTAGCAAGCGATGTGCTACAAAATAGCTCTATGATCTTCAGTGCTGAAAAGAGGTTAAGGATATGACACTGGCTTTCATCATAAGGACCTGGATGATAAACTTTTCCTCTAGTTAAAATCAGAAAAAAACCCTGCTTTTCCTGGGCATCTAAGGATGATGCCTTCTCTCATGAACACTAGATCAGAGTAGACCAGGTCCTGCCTCTCGGCACGACCTACTGGAGAAATAGGTCACTTTCTGGTGAATTAACGTATTAGACTGTATATTCTTGCATGTTGAGGATCACCCCACTTCTGAATTCGCTTTATTTTTCCTAATCTCAATGTTCTTTATGTCTTGTTTACTAATCTGTTTAATTTTTATATTTTCTCATTACGGGGAACTGGCTTAAATGTTTTCTAGCATAAGGCATATATATAACGTATTGAGGGCAATAGCAGCACTAACTGTGCATAAAATAACATGGCTAATAGGCAGCGGGTAGACTACTTCCAGGGAAGAGAAGAGGGGATTTTTGAGTTGGGTCTTGAGGAATAAGTGAGCTGTCACCTGAAAAGGCAAGAAAAGGGAACCTGTGCAGATTAAGAGAGAAAGCACATTCCACATCAAAGGAAAGTGGAAGACAGATTAGTAACAACTCTGACATTTAATAATATTTACTGAATGTTAACTTTTATGTGTTGGACTCAATGCAAAGCCCTTTACAACTTTTGTGTGTTTAATCCTCAAAACAATCCTCTGACATGGATTTTATTATTATCTCTATTCAGAGACGGAAATTGAGACAGTCTGTGAGTGGCAGGATTGAGACTCCTGTGGCCTCTAAGGACGTGGGGGCAGGGGGGGCACTTGGCTGCACTCAGTACTTTAGAACTCATCTTCTATCCCTGTCTCCCATGTGACAAAGCCTATCACTCCTTGGGATATCTCTCTCTCAATAAATAGAAAAGTAGCACTAACAGGCACACAGTGAAGTCAAAAACCTGGGATCATCCTAAACTCCTCCTCTCTCCCCATCCATTCAATACCTGAAGTCCTGACATTCTACCACATGCATTTCCCTCCCACCTGTTCACTTCTCCGCATTCTTTCTAGGTCAGAGTCCTTATTGTCACTCACCAGGGCCACTGCAGAACTAGCAGACACAGGATATATAACAGGGAAGGGCAGGAACTATGCAGGTGGACTCCCTGCCTCTGACCCTCTATAACTTACTATCTGTGCGACCATGGGCAAGTTAACCTATGTCTTGGTTTCATCTGTAAAATGCGGATAACAATGAGAACACTACCTGACAGCACTACGTAAACGTTAGTAAGTGGGGAGGAAACTTAGCTCCTCATTTTCTCTTCCTCTCATCATTCTACACACAGTAGAGACAGGGTGTATGCATGTTTTTGTTTGCTTGATTTGAGACAGGGTCTCACTATGTCACCCAGACTGGAGTGCACTGGCACGACCTTGGCTCACTGCAGCGTAGACCTCCCAGGCAGGCTCAAGTGATCCTCTTTCCTCAGCCTCCCAAGTCCTGGGACTACAGGTGTGTGCCACTGTGCCAGACCAATTTTTTTTTTTGTATTTGTAGACATGGGGTCTCACTATGTTGCCCAGGCTGGTCCTGAACTCCTGAGCTCAAGAGATCCACCTGCCTTGGCCTCCCAAAGTGCTGGGATTACAGACTTGAGCCACTGTGCCCAGCCATGTGTATGTGTTTTAATGCTAATCTGATTATCACCACCCACACCAACGTTAAAAAACTTTTAATGGCTTCCCATTGCCCTTAGAAACCTGTGGCTCATAACTTTCTAAATTCTAGCAATACCTGTCAGCTTGAGTTCTTCCAACATCTTGGGGCCTTTGTCCAAGTGGCTCCTAACCCAGAATACCAGTTCAACATCTACTTATTCTTCAAAAATGAGATTAACTTTTTGGGGGAGGCTTTCTCATCTCCATTGATTGGATAAACAATCTTTGTTACATGTTCCTACAGTTCCCAACCTTGCACTTCCTTGTGGTAATATTTGTCACTCTTAAAATTAATTAGGCAATGTTTCTTTCCCGCCAGACTGAAATGTGAGAGGGAAAAGCTCTTGCTCGTTGGTTCTGGGTTGTAACCTCAAAGCCTAGTCCTAGAAGGATAAACATCTACTAAAGAAATGAAACTGGAATGAAGCAAAGCTGAAAGTCCACATGAAGTTCCTGGGTCTTTAGAAGCCTCCCACCTCCACCACTCTTTATCAGTCTGCATATTTGGGCCTATCACTGTTCTTCCCATGGCCAGGCCCTTTAATGTGGAGACCCAAGTAGTCTTCAACTCTTCAGAAGTGGCCTCTCCACAGGCATTTTCAGTTACTGGTTACCTTCTCCTCAAAAACACCCAAGAGCCCTAGATCTTCCCTTTACAGATATCAAAGGACCTCGCTCCTCCCTAAACAGATACCTTGTAGGTTCTCCCTCCAGTTGCTAAACATGCCCTTTCCCCCTTCCCCAAGTGTCACTTTATTTCTGCTCTCAGTCCATAGACCACCTCCCTTATACTGTCCACAAACCCAGCCTTTGCTACTCTAAATCCATTCCATCTGACAAATCACCCTCCCCAACATACACACACACACACACACACACACCCTGCTACCTTTTATCGTCCTAGATGGTCTCATCCCTATACAGGCTCCTCTTTACTCCCTGTAAATCTCCCAGGTACACTTCCTGATTACCCTCGGATCTATTCCTTTCATAAATAATTCCTCGCTCCTTCTCCTCACTCACAATCCACTCGCAGTTCAAGGCCTCATCGCAATTCCTTCCATTGTCTGTGAGCCCTTCCCAATACGCCCCAGGACCCCTCCAGGTGTCACGCTCTGTATCCTGACAACCCTTGTCCATGAGTCCTGAAACTCCCATCCCATCGTTGGAGCTGCCACTCCCTCCCAGCCCTCCACAAATCTTCCGAGCTCCCAGCCCCAGGTCCGGCACCACCGCCCACCCTTCGCGGCCCCTGGGCCCTCACCGCATCCCTAGACAAACCCGGATTCCCTTCGGTCCCACTCGCCCTTGCATCGCTTCTAGACGTCTCGGCCACCCACGTGTGTTGCCAGCCTCCCGACCACGCTGCCGGCACACCCTACAGCTGGGCGCCGACTCAGGGAGAGCGGGAGGGGGATGTCGAGGGGCTCCGAGATGCGCTTGGACTCAGACGAGAGGAAGAAGGACTCGGGGGAAGCGGCCGGGGAGGCCCGGGGCTCCGGGGAGAGGTCGGGAAGGCCGAAGCGCTCGGGCGAACCAGCCGGGGAGACCAAGGGGCTCCCGGCCAGAGGCCTGGGAGGCCAGGGGTCTCCGGGGAGGCCGAGCGGGCCGTGCAGCGGACGCGGGTGGCGGCAAGCGGGGCCTCACCGTCAGTCACGGCTCCCATGGCGTGCGCGGCGGCGGCGGCGGCGCAAGCTGAGGCGGCGGTTGGCGGCGGCGGAGGTCAAACTCCCACAATGCAGCCGGGTAAACAGCCATGGAGGAGGAGGCGGCGGCGCCCGCAGCCGCCCGCTCCGACGCCTGAGCCGCGCCGTGCCGCCGCCGCCGCCGCCGCCGCCGCCGCGGGACCCGCGCTCCCCGCGCTCCCCGTACTCCCCGGGGGCGGCCGCGGCCAGCGCGAGTCGGGGCGAGGCTAGGCGGCCGGCGGCGGCCCCGGCTGCAGTCCGGGCCCCCGCCGCCCCCCTTGCCGCCCCCGCCCGGCCCACGCCCAGAGGCCGCCCCGGAGGCCGCCGCCAGCCGCCAGGTGAGCTCGCCTGGACGCCGCCAGGGCTTCGGGGGTTGCGGACCGCCCGGAGTCGGGGCCCCCGCTCCTTCCTCGGGAAGGTGACTGCGGCCCCGCCGTCCCATCCAGGCTGACGCCTCTTGGGGTGGGCTCGCTCCACTGGGGGTGGGGAGGGTGACGGGGACGCCCGGATCCGACTGAGCCCGGGAGACACGGGACTAGGGGGACCTAGGGGGCGCGTCGCTGGGGGTCCCCGCGAAGTTGGCGCCCACGCGCGCCGGGGCGGGTCTCGAACGCCGGCACTTGCGCGGGGCGCGGCCGGCAATCAAAAAAGGCCCGGGGTTCCAGGTCGCGCTGTTCCGGCCCCTGCGGCCGCCCCCTTCCTTCCTGGGCTCGGAGGGTGCGGGAAAAAGGGTGAAAGAGAAACTTGGCGACCTCCGGGAGGAGTTCGCGGAGCGACCGGGAGCGTGTGCACATCGTCCTCACTCGGCACCCAATTCCTCCACAGAGTCGGGATCTCGTCGGTGATCATGATGGGGTGCTTTTATTTATTTTTCTCTTTGATTTTTAAAAAATGTCTATTCAACTGTCCCTATCTTAAGGGGAAGTTGAAAGTGGGGGCGGGGGTACTCAGTGAGAAACGTTGCCTTGTGTGTAGTTGTCTGGAGCACACCGCAAATTATATTGGCATCTCTTTCCAGAAGTCACTTTGATTCAACTTCTATAGCTTCTTGTAAATGGCAACGTTTAGGTGGTGAGAGGTGGATTAGGAAACAGGCACCAATACAGCTGATTTGACCTCCAATGGGATAGATATGGTTAGCACCAGGATCAAGTCTTGAACCCAGGTTTGTTATTCTATTAAGCCATATCATTGTTTTCCAATTTTCCTGTCCCCCAAGTAGATCTTGGATCTTCATATCCGGGATGAAGAAGTTGTGTAGGATAAAATTGGTTGTTTCACTTTCCTTACTAAATTTAGGTACATTCTCTCTGTTTTCCCCAGTTCTTTCAAAGAGGAAGAGTTGCAGATGCAAATGTATTAAAGTGATGTGTGTTTAACCACTAGCTAGAAATGATAGATGCGAGGTCAGTTAACTTCAATAATACCATTACAGTGTTCTCAAGAATTAGTACTCAAGAATTTGACTTTTGTTACAAAGGCAGAAATTACTTTACATGAAGATTCTGATGTGTAGCTTGCCTTCCCCTAGAGTGTGAAGTTTCCCTGACTGTGAAAAAAATAATGACCTAAAGGCTGGCTGTAGGTGGACACCAGACCCTGTTCAATTCCTTGATTTTAGGAGACATGGCACACTCTTAAGAGAAAAATTGTTTTAAATCTTAAGTACTAAAATTGTAAGCTGCAATAGTCAATTGATTGGGGTTCACAATACCAAGTGGCATTTTGGTGGGGATATAGTTATTATTTAGAAAGTAATTGTCATGCGATTAAATGTTCTTTTTAAGTGTTTCTTAATCTTATAATACTGATTTTGAAACAGTATCTAGAGATTTAAAATAATTTTTAATATTTTCATGGGAAAAGTATCACTGCCCCTGTAACTTAAATTTTCGAGAGATATTCTGTCAGTTATTCATAGATGGAGTGCTGTTCAAACATTTTTATAAGTTCATTTGATCACTTACAATTTTGTTGCATGATGCTAGAAATTTTCTAGAGTAATAAGACCAAGAGGAATTTGAAAGGGTTTAAAGTTTGAGCTGTACCTGAAAATAAACATTCCCATAAGTTATTTTATTTTATTTTTTTGAGACAGGATCTTCCTCTGTTGCCTAGGCTGGAGTGCAGTGGCACGATCATTGGGCTCACTGCAGCCTGGAACTCCTGGGCTCAGGTGATCCTCCCACCTCAGCCTACCAACTAGTTGGGACTATAGGCACGTGCCACGATGCCTGGTTAAGTTTTTTATTTTTATGTTTGTAGAGACATGATCTCACTGTGTTGCCCAGGCTGGTCTTGAACCCTTAGGCTTAAGCCATCCTCCACCCTCAGCCTCCCAAAGTGCTGGGATTACAGGCTGGAGCCACTGTGCCCAGCCTGAAAGTTCTTGATTCAAGTGGTGGAAACATATAATTTGAGCTTTTATGAACACTAAAATCTGCTTTGTCAGCTACATGATTTAATTTGCAATTGCACTGACACAGATCCATTCGTTGAACATTTAAGAATTGTCTTTTCATATTCATACCGTATATCTCATATATATGAGAGAACATCTTGTAACAAACTTTAGGAGTGGTCTTCTTTTTAAATATTAACCTGTTTATGAATGTTCAAGTAGAAAAGACTCAAGCCCTATGCCATGCTAGTGTTTCTTCTTTTCTAGGGAGATCTTTATGGGCAGAAACACAGAAATGGAAATAGCAGATTTTAAGCAAATTGATTTGAACTTTGAACTTGTATGACCTTATGTTTATTGATTTACTCGAGTCATAAGATTTCTGTTTTTTTTCTTTTTTTGAGAATATGAAAGACTAGTTAAGAGAATTTGTTTGATATTTGCCTTCTGAAAATATAAAAAATAATGAGAAAACTAGCTATATGGTCTTTATTCTGGGCCTGTGAAATAATGTAAGGATTTTTGTAATATGCTTTTAGAGCAAAGGTTATCCTGGGGGCCTGCGACCCTTCAAGAGTTGGTTTCAAGGGATTCCTGAACACCCCGTAGTTGTGACCAAAACTTTTTGGTGTATGTGTATTTTTCTGGAAGAGAGTCTGTAGTTGTTTTAGAAGAGAGATCCAGGACTTAAAAAAATTAGAGACACATTTTTTTATTGAAGAAAATGGGAGTTAGAATGATGCTTTTTCTTTTTTTTGAAGCAGGGTATCTCTTTGTTGCCCAGGCTATAATGCTGTGGCATGAACATGGCTCACTGCATTTTGACCTCCTGGGCTCAAGTGATCTTCCTGCCACAGCTTCCCAAAGTGCTGAGATTACAGGCATGAGCCACCACAGAATGACCATTTTGAAGAGAAAAAACATTTTTGAAAAGTAGATCTATGTGTTCATTATCTCCTTTTTAAAATCATCTTCAGCCTGGGCGCGGTGGCTCACGCCTGTAATCTCAGCACCTTGGGAGGCTGAGGTCGGTGGATCACTTGAGGTCAGGAGTTCTAGACCAGCCTGCCCAGCATGGTGAAACTCCATCTCTACCAAAAATGAAAAAAAAAAATTATCTGGGCGTGGTGGCCTGTGCCTGTAATCCCAGCTACTTGGGAGACTGAGGCAGGATAATCACTTGAACCCAGGAGACTGAGGTTGTAGTGAGCCTGGGCAACAGAGTAAGACACTGCCAACTGCCAGAGAGAGAGAGAGATATGTGTCTTCAGATTAGTGAGAGAAAGAAAGAGATGTTTTCAAACTAGAGAAAGAAAGAGATGTCTTCAGACTAGTTATGTGTTCTTAGAGGTGTAAAAGTACTTCGATTTTATTCCCACAGTGAAGCACTGCCTATCAGTTGATAAGCCAAGCTGGCCTGACATGCTAGTCATGCATGTATTGTGGCTGTGTTTTTTAAAAATTATATCTAAAAATTCAGACCAGATAGCTTGATGGTGGATAAGCAAAGATTTGATCTTGACACCAGTCCTTGGAGTAAATGGGTCTTTCAGCTCCATTGTCTTCTCTCCAGAAATTTTGAAATTTGACCGAAAGGGAATCATTGTAAGAAAATGTGTTTGTGCCTTGGCAGGACATTAGAACATGATCGGAAAAACACAGTTTGAGTCAAAATAGACTTGAAATTCAAATTTGGTTTCCTTTATTCACTCCAGCTACTTAACCTGCTTGACTCTTCAGTTACTTGTCTGGATATGCTTAACTAGTAGAGTTGTTGGGAGGCTGTCTAGAAGTTTGATATATAAAACTCTTAGCCTCTCTTTGGCCCACAAGAAGGATTTATAAGCCAGATTTGGGCAACTATTAATAAACATCTGAGGAAACGTGTATATTCATGGTATGTGATAATAAGTACATTAGTTCCAAATTGATATGAGGAAAATAGTAACACTTAAAACATTTTTTTTAAGAAAAAGATTTTCAAAAATGAGTTAGGATTGAGTGGTCCCCAAATACAGATATTTAGAGGAAATTGAAAAACGATGGTGTATTTGGCAGAGTGGAGGACGTGGATACTCTGCACGAACAAATAATAGCCTCCCACCAGCTGCAAGATTCTCTCTGTGGGCAAGATTATATTTTACATCTTCTCTTCACTTACAATCTCAATTTCAAAATTAAAATATTGCACATGTACTTTATAGTCCAATCACCCCTAAAAGTACTTCACCCTACCCTTTGGTTTTGAGACCTTCACAGGTACCACAGGGACTTCATGGTTGAAAGTTATAACCTTGGTTGTCTAATTTTGCTGCCTTGAAAACACCTTCATAGTTGGGTACCTGTCTTGATTTTTTTCAATAGGAAAGTCTGACAGGACTGAATTGTATTTTTCTTTAAATGCTAAAGTAAGAGAGGGCATTATGAGTCAAAAGAAAGTGTGAGATATATGAATAAAATACTGTATAATACTTATGGCCATAAAAGTAAACTTGCTTATACTATTTCAGTAGTCGTTCACTTTCCTGTCATTTATTTGGGGTGATCATTTATGCCTTCTGCTCTTGGGTTGGATAATGATTATAAACAAAGGCTTTAGACTTTGACTCTGGCTTTGATTCTCATTTCCTGAGCTCTCTGGTTGTGTTCAGCTTGGGCCATAGAACTTATTGGAGTCTAGAGGAGATGACCATTAAATGGGATAATAAATGCAAAAAATTTTGCATAGTCTTGGGTCCCTAATGAGTACTCAGAAAGTGATAGCCATTTTGAAGATAGTTACATTCTCATCTTTAGAAGGAGATATCATACATCCTTTTATTTTTTTTGAGATGGAGCTCATTGAGGCCAAGGAGGCTGGAGTGCAGTGGCTCAATCTTGACTCACTGCAACCTCTACCTCCCAGGGTTCAAGCTATTCTTGTGCTTCAGCCTCCTG